TCTCTAATGGGGAATGCTATTGGTATTTTTATACGGTGATTGCGCTTGTGCACTTTATTCTGACTGATTGAAACACTTATTTATTTATTTCAAATGGCAGGCGTTTTGATAGTTATCATTAGCCCTTTAGCTGACTTCGGGCTTCACAGGGGGAAGGAACATCACAGTAACAGAAAGTCGAGGGGTGGGGAACAGAAGAGTGATTTACAGATGTAAAGAGACAGACATGAAGGCAGAGAAAAGGTAGGATGAGTACTGCGCCAGAAGTCAATCGCCAGTTAATAGACTTTTTCGCCGTATAAGTATACGTTGCCCAGGATGCACCACGTGGAGGTAAGTCTATCACGCACCCCATGATTGAAACATAGTGAGAGCCGTCTTAAGACATTAATTGCAGACTTAATTGCACTTGCTTCCCTCACCATTTGGTCTTATTAGTGCTTATCAAGTTACATGCGTATGTTCCTTCTCTTGTTCACCAAAATTCACCTTTTTGGTATCACCTTTGGGGTATCAAATTGATAATCGTGTATCCCTTTCAATTTGTATATATGTGTGTGTTGTGGATAATTTATGCTTTCTATTTGCTTTCATGCTACTGCTTCTTATTCCTGTCAACTAAATAACTATGTGAATTTGAACTTGTAATCAAATCGGTTTTAAAATGAATTTTTCTAAAAAACGCTTTCATAAGAGAAACTTCTGAATATCTCTTCTCAAATCAAACCTTATAAACCCTTTCCTTTCCTGGAAAAGTGTTGCCCAACACGATTTTCAGGTAGTCAAAAGACTTCTTAAATGGCCTGTGATACGAAACTTGCATTTGTTGGTGGTTGGTCATCACGATCATAGTATATGTGGCTCAGAATTTGTCGATGTTAACCATTTACTGTGACAATGTCTTCTAAAATCCAAAGAATCTTAAATTTTAATATTGGGAGAGGCATTCTTTAGTCTTTGTTGGAAGTGTTCATATATTACAGGTTTTAGACTATTGAGAGTATCGATCTCTCAACCGCTCACTTGGCTGGCGTAACTCGAGTGGATGTCCCCTTCATTTCCTTCGTAATGGTCTATAATTTGTTCTTTTTTTCCCTCCTTCCTTCAAAGTGATTATTCCACGAATTGAAAGAACAATTGCCTTCGTCATTCAAGAGCTCGATGAGAGGGAAAGGGAAGAATTCTACAGGTCAGTTTTGTTAGAGTTACTATTCTTTCGCTTTCACAATATTGACTCTCTTCCCTCACCCCCTCCCCATCCCCTTCTGTAGATTAAAGAAGGTTCAAGACAGAAAGAAGCGCATCAAAGCTGCCCATGATGAGGAATTACTGAAGGAAAATATTAATCCAGAGGAAATAGATAATATGATCGGCGTGCCCAACCTCTTGATTGATGAAACTGAAGACCAAATCATCTTCTAATTCCGCTCTCTTTCTTCCTTGGCTCTTCTACGATCTCGCTACATTCCTGCTTATTAGCATCGTGAAAACATTTATTTAGTCCGTCGTCTTATACCTTTATCTTCCCTTAGATTGATTTATCTACCAGCTCTCTCATTGCTTCCAAGCTTGGGTGTGTATATTTCTCTTGTATTTTAAGCCTGTCGGGTTTATGTTTTTTTACCCCGATGGGCTAGAGTGTAGCTGGTGGGGGCATTTGTGTGAAATATAGCATGTTTTGAATGCGTTTATACCATATATGTCTATTGTCAGGTAATGCAATCCATTTGTGCGAACTCTCTTTTTTTGTGCATCGTCATTAGTAAAAACCAGAAATGTTTGGTTTGACACGCATCGGCTTTTTCCTCTGGTTAAAATTGCAGTGGAACGCGTGAAATGATTTAAATTAAAATAATTAATTCAATTAATCCTGTCTTTTAAATGGAATGCTTCAGAATTCTTATCCATAAAACTATTTCAGACTTCCTGATTTCGATGTGGGCTTTTAAAGCTTCGCAAGGGCATTCTCACTCTGGTGTCAGCGTTGGCCTATTCTACAAACTGTTAGTAGTTCTAGTTTGCTGATCTCTCAGTAGTGCGTCGATTGAATATCATTCTACTCAAATTTACTTTTGCTAACGTTTTCAGTAATGGGCCTAAAGTTTCGACATTTGATATGATGAACTAGATCGAATGGGGTTATCGATCTTGCTCTGCTGTCATGTTGACTTATTGTGGTGTTCGTCTGTGGTCTTACCAAGATCCTCTCAATAGGCATTCAACTCATCGAAAAAATACTCTGTTTAATCAAAATTATTATTCGTACTTCCGAATTAATTGTTAATAAGAGGTATATTTTTTTGCGAATTGTAGCGAGAATCATTACGAAATCTCATTGGTTGATTTCCTTTGTTTTTTAAAAGTTGTATTCCCTAGATCATTATGCTCACTATCACGAAATCAATTTTTTAGACACATTAGTCACCTGATCGTGTTTTTGGATACTCATAACAGGCTAGTGCTCTCGCAGTGCCATTTGGGAACATTGTCTACGCTTCAAAATGGTATTTTGTCTTTATGAAATGACAATCTGTGCACTGCGTTTCGACTCTATTGACAGCAGCTCAGAAATAGGCAGAAGAGATGTACACTTTACTTTATTAACTTTCATGGTGTAATCGAAGAGAGAGGCAGCATCATTCATCTCATGTCTTGGCCATTGACTTTTTTTGAATAATGTAGGAAAACTAGGTCGGTTAAAATGGAGCTATTAACAAATGAAATTTATCAATTTCAAATGGCAGGCTTCCCCTAAGGGTGGGGGCTACAATTATAGCAGTTCATTAACTGTCTTCTTGCTTCCCAGTATCTCTGGCTTTCCGTCGTTGTCTTTTGGGCTGGACATCGAATCAGGTGGGTCTTCTCCATTTTCTCCTGTAGGTTACATAGAGGGCATGTGGGTTGAGTGTATACTCCCAATCTGTGAAGATGTTTTGCCAAGCAATCGTGTACGGTACGAAGTCTAAACTCAGCAACGGCTTCGATTCTTATCCAGTCGGCTGTCGGAGAGTGCCACTGTCCACTGTTTCTCCTTTGTTCAAGCTTTAAGTTCGTTGCACCTTGAGGTCTGGAATTCTCTCCTGA